GTATATTTTATATTACATTCGAGTGAAAATATAATAATCATAACACGGGCCCTGAATTTGTGTAGGCTTAACTTATGTTTAATATTTACTCCTGTCTATGTATATTTTATATTACATTCGAGTGAAAATATAATAATCATAACACGGGCCCTGAATTTGTGTAGGCTTAACTTATGTTTAATATTTACTCCTGTCTATGTATATTTTATATTACATTCGAGTGAAAAGAGCAACACCCTAGTGAATAAATACAATTGAACAGGGCCAAAAAATCTCTGGAGATCGAGCCTCAGTCAAATGATAACTTTTATTAAGATGCTCTTTGTGTTATTTCAGTGAATTTTTTGGAACGTTGTGTGATAACCACAATAAAAATGTGCGTCAAGTCAAACGCCTTCTTTCCCAAATAAATATCAGTCTCAGTATTTTACTGGTTCTGATTTCTTGTGGTTCATTAATTTACTTAGATTCTTTGTTACAATGTTAACTTGTAACCGATTCACATGGCAACGACAGTATTTGATATACTTTTAGTTATTAGATTGTCCCCATGTCCCCCCGCTAAAGTTCGGGTTTCTATACTTGTGGTGGGCAGAACACAGACAGCTCATTGTGTAACTTTACTCTTAACAACAACGAAACTAAACGGGCCAGATTAAATTTTCAAATAAACAGGAAACGTTTTGTTTAAGTATAAGAAAAGTTTATAGAAAGTTATCTGAATTGCAGCCTAAAACTTTTGCTTTCGGTGATTAAATATTGCCAGTCTGAGGCAAAATTATTGTGTTTATCTCTATTTATATATATATACGACCCCTAGTGGCACAGCTGTATGTCTACGGACTTACAACGCAAGAAACCGGGTGGACAGAGCACAGATAGCCCATTGTGTAGCTTTGTGCTTAATTACAAACAAACAATATCTATATATATCACAGTGAGGACTGTGGACAGGAAAACACTGACCAGTTACGTATAAACATTAACTGATGATGTCATCAGAACGAATATTTTCAATCACGTGTTTCATGAAATGTTAAAAATTCTTTAGACTGAATGAAAATAAAGCTTGAGGTAAAAGTTATTTTTCTGTTGGATAACTTATTCTAATCAACGCCCCTCCAGTGGCACAACGCTAGAAACCGGGTTTCGATACCCGTGGTGGGCAGAGCACAGATAGCCCTTTGTGTATAACTTCAAACCTTTTCTAATCAACAAAATTCGGAGAACGAATTTAACCATCCTGTGGATTAATTCTGAAAGTACTGAATTTATTTAAAAGACGTTGTTCTGGGATTAGGATCAGGCAGCATCTTTATCCAGCAGCAGGTAGTTAGGAGATAAGAGATTGATTTTTAGCCCCAAAACACGGATTTTTATATGCATTTCATTAGTATTCTTACGATTCTCCAAATAGTGTACACATCCAACTCACAAGTAGATCTGTCACTTAATTGGATGAATTTTGTTGTTCTGGGAACTAAAACCAAACCTAATTCAACAGTTGGTTATGATTGAAGATGGTAAATTGGCAACCTATTTGTACGTATTTCTCCTCATCCTATTCAGATCAAAGTTCCTCCCAGATTCTATGATTTCCTTAGTAATTCCTTTTATGGAAGTTGTGTCCAGTCTCTAATGAAGTAATTGTATTGTTTTCTCATAGCCATCTTTCGGCTCCAGTGGCGTCGGTTAAGCATTTGATTCTCCATATCGCCTGAAGTGAATCTTTGTCTATATTTAATATATACATTTCATTTCTTGGTCAAGTGTCGTTGTGTAACTTCTCGTATATATTCATTAGATGTGCCCAGTTTTCTTCGTATTGCATGTGTGTATAATATATATATTATGTATGTATTATATTTTTCCTTTCTTGAAGCATTTGAAAAATAGCGTAAAATTATCAATGGTGGATATACCTTACGCACGTTTAACTTTTCGTAAAATGCCTCAAATGCTTTAAAAGTTTGAATTATTAATGGTGGATATACCTTACGCACGTTTAGCTTTTCGTAAAATGCCTCAAATGCTTTAGAAGTTTGAATTATTAATGGTGGATATACCTTACGCACGTTTTTTTTTCAAAATGGTGTTTGACGAAAAATTGCTCAAGGGCTATCTGCCCATAGTCGTGCCTACATTTTAACTGATATACAAGAGGGAAGGCAGCTAATCAATAACACACACCGCCAACTCTTCGGCTACTTTTATCTCACACACGGCTCCAAAGTACAGAGTATGTTTTTGCGGCAACGGACTCAAATCATAAATCTATGGATTCACGGTGTAGGTACGTTAGCCAATAGGCCACGACCGGTCCTCTAGAAGCAGTAAACTACAGGAGAGGTAGGAACGTTATTCAACTAAATTAATGGGATGTTTCTCATGTTGGTAGTGTGCCAGTCTCATTAGTTTCGACTAAATGAACTAATCAGATTTCTAAAAAAACAAAATATTTGTTTCGTGAAGATATAATTGAGTTGAAAAATGTTTTCTAATCACATGAACTACGTCTGGAGTATATTGATAACTATTCAGTGTTTTCAACGAAAGCGTTACCACTTTTTAATATATTTATAGTTTAAATATCTGTTGGTCAGAGTAAATGTGCGATCAGGGAAAGCATACCAAAAATTTTCCAAATATAAATAAATGGTGATATTGAAAATATGAGTATGGACAAATAATAAATAAATGGTGATATTGAAAATATGAGTATGGACAAATAATAAATAAATGGTGATATTGAAAATATGAGTATGGACAAATAATAAATAAATGGTGATATTGAAAATATGAGTATGGACAAATAATAAATAAATAAGTCCC